GCTTCTCCCACTCAGATTCTGCCCTGTAGGTGAAGTGAATGAGTTACAGGCAGCTCTCCACAGAGCGTAGCAATGTTTGCAGGAATGCTCAGTGCGTCCCTCACAAAAGGCCCAGCACAGGCCCAGAAATGGAGCTGAGGCCTCGGATACTAACAGCCTCTTCCTGTAGCCAGCAGCTGCAGTGGTTACAAGTTCTAATCTATTACTATTGCAAGAAGACTTAATTTCTGGACTTAAAGGAAGTTGGATAATACTTTATCCTATTAGCTTTGCCTGTGTGAATTGACAATGGCTTCCTTCTGACATGACAGCATATTCTTCCAATTCATCTCTTTAAGGGGATGAATTGGGACAGTCTGGAGTAAGAAAGGAGGGAGGGCCAAGGAAGAGACTGCTAGAGGAACCAGTGAAAGAGAAGATAATTTTTTAATTAGAAATGGGGAGGGGGGCTTGGAGATACTTGGCAAGACTGAGATATCTCCAAGCATGTTTGCATTTCATTTGGTTACTCTGATGAGGGAAGTGATTGCACCTACTGGGTGTACTGTGTGCATGTGTGTCAGAAGAAGGTTCTGAAGCCACAGAGAGGTACGAAAACAAGAAGAATGAGGAAGTGGCCTATTCCATGCCCTTCTCGGTCCAGCCTGCTGTGCCTGCAGGGTAGCTTTCCCTTTCTTTAGCCCCCTCTGCCATATTCCCGTTTGAAGTCCACATCTGCTCTGACCAATGGTATCATGTCAGCTGAGGCCACCTTCACATGATGGGTGTGTTATCAAGGCTGGCCAACCTTGGGATGGCAAAACGCTGAGGCCAGAATGATGGTTTATAGCTTCAAAATTCAGGGATGTGGAGACAGAGAAGGGACTTTCTAAGTTAATTCAGAAAACTTATTTATGAGGAAAATGAAGGCCAGGGAGATGCGATTTGCTCAGGTGTCACATAGCTGGTGATGGAGAGACCAGATCTCTGGTCTTTGGATTCTCAACCCAGCACTGCTACTGAACCTCAGCAGGGCCACGGTGACTGACAAATCCAGGGGGCGCCATTTACAGAAACTACAAAGTGAGGAGTGTCCCCTGGAGTTGGCGACTGGGTGCAATCCCTTACAGTTTGCTTCCAGGGAGAGAAGGAAGGGGAGGGGGAGGAGGGGAGGAGAGGGAGGAAGAAGGAAAGGCCTTTCACACCAGTGCTTTATCTGTGCTTAATGCTCTGACACAGTGCCCACTCATGACTTCACTCAAACAGCTAGAGCTGAGAAATCAGGCAACTCTTCCTTTCTCTTCAACCACAAATGTTCCAAGGCATGTGAGTTCTGATGGCAGCCCAAACAGGTAATAAATTAAAAGGAACATTTGTTGCTCATGCCACCTACCCCCATTCCCCTACAACAGCAAAGAGCTATAAGGTAAAGAACATGCATCCCTGTGCAGGGAAGGCATACAGAGGCAAAAATCATGTTAGAGGTCTGTTCAAGGTCAAGATGACCACTGGAGAAGCAGAGAAGTCTGGAGTCCTGCTTCCACGTCTTTTGCCTTCCCTGGTTCCTTTGTAAACAAGGGGACCCTTGCAGGGAAAGCTTAGACAGCCCAGGTTGACTCCAGGGTCTTCTCTGAAATATGGTCTAGGAAGCTAGTAGATGTCTCCTAGCCACCTCAACAAATCCTCTCGGGAAATGGAGTCCTGGCTATAATTTTATCACATACATTTAATCAGAATCTGTCTCCTTCATGATGGTTTTAAGCCAAGTCCCAACAGAAACATTCTAAAAGAACAGCCGCTTTCAACCAAGGATCTTTTAACCAAGTTAATTTAGCAGAAATTTGCCATCTTGGATGGGCTTGCGTTACCTCTCTTTTTGACTTCAAAGCTGGGAAGAGAAGGGAGGTGGAGAATGCAGAGAAATAAAGAGGAGGGCAGGGGCTTCCGGCAAATGAGTTTTCATCTATTAAGGAGTGGTAATTTCTGCTAGCCCCCCTAGAGACTGGTCCCCTCCAATAATGGCCTAACTCTAATGATTCCCACTCCTAAGCAACAGCCTGTGTTCTGCTGGTGTTGAGACAGACTGTGCCAGAGAAATTCCCTTTCTCCCGGAGGTGTTGCTAACATTACGCAGGAGAGATTAGCCAGCCAGGAAGATATGCTCTTGGTGGGGAGTGAGGATCACGAGAAAGAATGCTCTTCTCCAGCGGGCATGGTACTGCTGACCTGGGATATAAAAAGCTGAGCGGGAGGCTAGAGGTTAGTGAGAAGATGAAATGGGCAGGCACTCTGACAAGAGAAAGTGAAAGCTTAGGTGCCTCCGGAGGAGTGAGGAGTTCCATGCAAGACAAGCACTGGCTGGCTGGAAGGCAGGGGGAGGGCTCTGGGGTGCGGACTGTGGCTTGAGCTCGGACACAATGGACAAAAACTGATGAGCATCTGAGATGTGAAACATGGTGATAAGTTCACTGGAATCAATTTTGGGCCCCTAAATATGGATCTTTTCCAGGACAGAGGTACAGGAATGTGGGCCAACACGGAACTGGGGTGATCGCTATTACTGAGGCTGTGGTGTCAGTTGAAGGGTGGGGTCCTCCCATCCTGCCCTCTCCCTTCTTCTACACGGAAATCAGCGGGGAAAGATAACGCCAGGGCTCTAGTTTTTGCTGAGGCTGCTGAGGAGGGGGTGGGGAGTCCCCTTATTTTGCCCCTGGTGGCTTCCTTGTGATGGAGACGGAATGCTTCCAGAGGCTGCCTTGCCAGAGGTGCCAGCAGGCAGCCCGGCCAGAGAGCCTGTGGTGCAGACAGATGCCCTGGGCCGGATTCAGGATGGCGAGACCCTTTATGGCACTGCGGCTCAGCTCTGGGGCAGTGCCAGGGCGGCAGGGTAATGTTCCTCAGCCAGATTCATTTCCCCCCAAACCTCTTCAAATGTGTGGGCCATGGAGGGAGGTACATTTAATTAAATTACTATGTCATGGGCTGCCCTTCCTGGGCAAGGGCTAAAAACGGGCTCACGCTGGTGTGCAGACCCGTTTGTGTACACAGAGCACACGTTTCTTTGTGCCTGGGCCGTCAGCAGCTGGATGGGGTTGGCAGTGGCCGGCGCTGGCCCCGGTGAGCTGAGCCCTCTGCCGCAGCAAGGCAGAGTCAACAATAATCCAAGCCTGGCCCCATATGGCTCTGATGACCTTTTCCTTTCTGCTTAAAAGATGACTGAGCGGCACTCCCCCTTCCTACATCAGTTCATTTCTCCTCAAATGCCTCTCCTGCTGACACCCAGGACTTTCCCGTAAGGCGGCGCCCTGTGCTGAGCTGGGGAAGGAGGTATGATTCAGAGTAGCGTATGGGCAGGGCTTGTTGAGCTTGGCAGGAGACAGAGGGGTCTCCCTGGTGATTCTCCAGAGTGCTAACTCCGTGTAGCACGGAGAACCATTTTCAGGTGCCAGAGGAAAGTGGCAAAGCTATCTTTCCCCCATCCCTGCATGAACGACATGGTGGATACAGAACCTGACCATCACACGGAGGCAAGGACATTCAGTAGCAACTAGAACCATTTACTATGTGGAAATCAACAACCCAAACAAATGCTGGCTGTGCTGTACATGTCCACCCCACAAGGTCATTCCATTTCGTTTCTGGTCTGGAAGTGGAGGCCTCACTACTCCAGATTACAAAATACTCCAAGGGTAAAGACTTTGCCCCTGAGTAGTGCTGCTGCCGCTGGACCTAGGGCTTCCCTCTGCTGGTACGAAATGGCCTGAGGTGGAACCAGGTGTGGTGTGGAGAGCAGGAGACACTAAGAGCCTGGTAATGGGGTTGTCCATTTGGAATTCAGACCCTGGAAATGTGAGCTGGGGCATCTTTCCCCACTTGTCCCCTGAGAGAACAGAGCCATCTCATCTCTCATGTCTAAAACTTCAGCAAATGCAACACCTGGAGCCTGAGACAACAGGAAACATGTGGGCACTGAGTAGTTATTCTCATGCACCCTCTCAGGTCCAGGGCATCCTGGCACCAGCAGACCGCCAGGTGATGCGCAGGCTGCTCTGGGAGCTGAGGCAGGCTTACAGGCAGGCAGTCCCACAGTGAGTACAGAGGGCAGAAGATGGGGAGCAGAACCTCCCGATCCCAATCTCCAAGCCTCTGACCATGCTCTTAGGGGCCTGGCAGGATGGGGAAGGCAGCGTCCCCCCACTCTGGAGCTCTTCTGTCCTTGTGACCTATGCTGAGCAGCTCCAGGGCCATTATCCTTCATAGAATTGGGGATGGGGTTGGCAGTGTATCTGCCACAGGTTTCTGGTTGCGAATCTGATGGTTGCTCTGAGAGTTAAGGCAAATACTGTCAGTTCAGGTCCTTGGGACCCAACTCAAGAACCTGGACTGTGCCCGTGAGTCACTCTCAGCCCAGCAGTTTTAACTGACTAGAATTTGTGGATCAAAAACAAAAGCAGGCAGGTCATTAAAATGTGGTCAAAGGAGAAAACAATGGATCCAAAAGAGTATGTTTCCTAATTAAGAGGTTAAGCAACAACTGTAGCAGAAAGAGAGAGCAACATATTCTAGAAGGAAGCCCAGGAAGGCAGGGCCCGCCATGAAGAACAGGAAATTGACCAGCGTAGTGATCTTGATCATGTGGCTTCAGAGAAACAAAAAGGTTCCTGGGTTCTGGGCTATGCCCAAGGATCTTTCTTCCTTACATGCCAAGTGGGACAAAAGAGAGTAGACCACATCCCTAGGTTGTAGGAGCCATGACATTTGGAATGGAGTAAGGTCCCTTAATTCCATTCTACCCAAGTGGCCCCATGCACACTGGGACAGAGAGCACTCACCAAATGCCTGGCCTTGAACTATGGAGATAAAAACAGGTAACTCAGGGCCCCTGGGTGGCTCAGTCGTTAAGCGTCTGCCTTCGGCTCAGGTCACGATCCCAGAGTCCTGGGATCGAGCCCCGCATCGGGGTCCCTGTTCAGCGGGAGGCCTGCTTCTCCCTCATCCACTCCCCCTGCTTGTGTTCCCTCTCGCTGTGTCTCTCTCTGTCAAATAATAATATCTTTAAAAACAAACAAACAAACAAACAAAAAAAAACCGGGTAACTCTTCAGGTAGTCCTTGTCTCTTTAGTCAGTATGTTATTGGTCCTTGGGTGCCAACAGAGATATTCTGTCATTATTAAGGATTAAAAATATCCTTATCCTGAAAAAAACACTCCAGGGACTAACAGATCTCAGTCCCGATTATTACCCTATAAAAAGGGTTGGCTTTGGGGGCTTATGTTCCTGTTTTAAGCAGCCTAGGACTGGGACAGTTTTCTCCATTGAGAAAAAAAGCCTTGAAATAATGTGTGTAACAGCGAAGTAAGCCTCAGGATGAATCATGTGAGTATTAGTACTGCTGAACCAATGGCATTCCAAAGCTGCTGGGGTCCCTTAGGTTTACAGATGACTGCACTGAGCTGGTGTATTTGCTCTGTATGCCCCAACCCAAACCACACAGGTGGAACAGACTGCTGCCACAGCACTCCCTCCTTGCTGCTTGCTGTTGCTAGAGGGTATGGCTGTGGGTCTCAGGGTCTCAGAGAGAGCCTGCTAGATGGGACCCCCTGATTCCCGTGCCTTGTCCACAGCTCAGCAGCGGAGGTGCCAGGGTGGAAGGCAGAGTGAGGCCCTAGGGCTACTGCAGCATATCTTTCTCATGTACAAGGTCACCCACGACCCCTCTCGCATTTGTTACCTGTCACTTCATTTCTCTTGGAGAGGGACAAGGAGAAGGGAAATGAATTGATTACAGTGGTGTATTACAGGGCACTACCTTTCAGCATCTTGAACTGGACTGAGGAACTGAGCAGTGGTGCACTGAGTGGTCCAGTCTGCATTTAAGGGAGGAAAGGGTAGGAAAAGAAGGAAAGGTAATTTCTGGCACCGGCTCTCTCCTCTCTCAGCTCCCAGTAATACTTAGGAAGCAGAGTGGGTGGAACTAAGCATATTTGCAAAAACAGATTAGCTCCGATGCAGGCTGAAAAGTATTTTCTATACAACGTGAACTGAGACCCCCCTGTACCCTTGTCCTATGTGCTTCAGATAAAATTTTTATCATGTTTCCTAGGTTAATATGCCAGAGCATGAACTAAGAGTGGTCTTCATCTTAGCCCCAGGTTGACTTGCAGGCAGCGGCTGGCCCAGCCCCTTCATTTGGGGGAAAGCAGGGCAGGAGAGGGATGGGAGTGGCAGACGTCGCTGGATAAGGCTGGGGCCATCTGCACTACTGTGAATCAAGGTTGGCTCAGACAGAAGGCGCGAGGGAGGAGGTGCAGCTGCTGATGGCTCAGACAGCTTGGACCTGTCCAGGCAAACAAGCCGCTCAAGTGCAAGAACAGCCAGCCAAGTAGGCAGAGCACGAATAAGGACTTAAAGCTTGAAATATCTGACAAGATATGGAGGGAGGGTAGGAAGCTGTCTGGGATTTCAACTGGTGTCTGGCCTTGCTTCTCACTGCTAAGGCAGACTCTTCTGCTACCGAAGGATGGAATGTGATATCTGGGAGCCAGTGGGCAAGCTATTCTTTGAGCTAAAATCTTAAAAGAAATATTCATCTTAAATTGCAAAGACAGTTCTGGACTGTTCTCCCTCACTAATGCCCTCTAAAACAAAATCAAACCATTGTCCACAGATAATCCATCTCTGCTCCAGTCACCTGCCCAAGGTTAAGAGCATTGGGCCGTGAGAGAGAGAGTGTGTGGGGGCTGAGGGTGGGGGACACAACCACACTGCACCATCAATCGCACAGTCTGGGAACAGTCTCAGACCAGCTAAGGAAGGCGACGTGGGGTGTGCAGAAGAGGCAAATACACGCTCTCCTCTTCCGCCTTCCAGGGCGGGTGGTGGTGGGGAGGGCAAGGCCAGCAGTGGGATGTTCAAGCGCTATTACAGCTCCTTCTGGTGAACACTCTTTGAGACAATGGTTCTCAGTCCCAAGTATATACTGTCAGCACTAAGGAGCCGTTAGAAAATACCAATGTTCAGACTCTAGATCAATTACAGAGGCATCTCTAGGGGTGGTGACAGGATTTCGATATTTTTAAAAATATAGCCCGGTGGTTCAAGGGCAGGCTCAGGATTAGAACCTCTGCTTTTGAGTCTAGAGGGAGCAGGGGAAGACTCAGTGGTCACGCTGGTTTCTGACAGGCAGGACAGTCCTGTCACTAATGACAGAAGCTTTAGCTGAGCTAGTGCCCCTGGGGTTTCACTGAGGTTCAGGAGGAGTAACTTCGGAGAGAGCTGGCCAAGTATCAATTGACTGCCCTGGAAAAACAAAGGGAAACACTCCTACAAACATATCACCCTCCTAAGAGCCCCAGGTGAGGAGGGAGAGGGGACAGACTGCTCAGAGGCCCATGAATATCAAATGGGAGAAACCAAGGCACAGGGAGACTACCATTTATTCTACCATATATTCTACCATATATTATTATTATTTATACCATTTATACCATAGTGGAAAGAGAAACCCTCCCTAGTCACATAGGCTGCTCTACAAGCTAACTCAGGAGGGGCTCAGTTCAGGCTCATAAGCCCAAATGAATGAGAAGCTACTTCTAAAAAATGCCAGGTTTCTGACCCCTAGCCTAGTGGCATTCCCTGCCACAGCCCTCCTTTGGTTCACTTCCTCATCTATATGCTTACTTAGAGCCAGTACAATGACTGGCACTGTGCCAGGTGCTGAGGAACAATGGAGATGAAAGACTTGGTTCTTGCCCTTGAGGAGTTCCTACCGTGGGGGAAACAACAAGATGGACAGCCTAAGGGTGGCAACAAGGGGAGATAAGTACTAGGGAGCATAGGGGAGTCAGGGAAAGCTTCTGCCTCCTCCCATCCAAACAGTCCAGTGAAGGCCACATGGCCTGGAGTTTTACATTTTAGTGACTCTGAGGCTACTTGTTCTTCTGAGTGGGCAGAGGAAGAAAATGCCCGTTTGAATTCTGGATGTAGGCACCAGATATAGTGGTAGGACCCACACTGATTCAGACCTGGGGCAAGACAGATGCTCTGGGCCCTCCTACAGAGGGGCAGGGGGTGACTTCTGCACCTTTCTCAAGCTGGTTTGCTGAAAGGACTGTTCCAAGTCTTCCCCAGGGAGTAGGAAGAAGGACACCCATGCACTTAGTAAACATTATTGGTAGCAGAGCTCTGGGCTGGTCGAGTGACCTTGGGCAGTCTGTAGCTTTCCCTCTGCTTCAACTTCCCTTAGCAACACACAGACTTGCTTATAAGTATACATCACAAAGCCCCCTGAATAAAGAAGAGCCAGCAGCTTGCTCATGAATGGAGAGGTGCTAAGTCAGGGTCCTAAGCCAGGCTGTGGTATTTAAATGTAGCATGGAAGCTTCCAGCCAGAGCTCCAGAGCACCATTTAGTTGGGCTGCAGCAAGCTTCTGTTTATCCCACCTGCTGAGCAGCCAGAGCAAAATACTGCTTGGGAGTTAGGACAGGTGCTGAAGACACAAAAGGGCCCTCACACACTTGCACACAGGACTGAGAGCACATGGACTCCCGGGAAGGACAGGGAGGTGCAATTTCAGCCCCCTCGCCCCTCACTCTAGCTTCAGCAAAACCCCACTAGGTAAAGTGCTGAACACTAAGGAAATCAGAATCCTCCTGTGCATGTGTCGCCACGTAGTGGTCTTTTATGGTCCTGGTGTGGCAAGAGAGGTCCTCAGCGTGGTATGCAGGAGTGCTGGCAAGTGACAAGGCACGTAAAGCCCAAAGCACAACAGCTTTTGGGGCTGGGTGGTACTGAGGTCACTCAGTAGAACAAAGCTGCCTAGTTGTCCACTCTGAATTCCCATTCTAGGTGTCATCTGTTCTTTGTGCCCAAGCTGTTCTTCACCTCCTCAGGAGCTGATGGTCCAGATTACTTATGGGAACTTATCCTGAAAGGTCACTCTTAGGTTACGCAGAGCCCCAAGTCAGAGCTGATCTAGGGTGTGGGGATCCAAATTTAATCTTCTAAACCACCGGTTCTCAACCTTATCTGAACATTAGAATCCCCTGAAGAGATTCTAAGTTCTTTTAAAAACATTTTTTTATTACTGAAAAAACTCAGATTTGAGAAATTTGAAACACTGGAACTAGAGAATAGTTACGAACTCCCATATACCGACCATCCAGATTTAGTAATTATCAAAACAGATCTGCTCCATCTATCCCCCTTTTCTTTGCTGACGTATTTTAAAGCATACCCCAGACATGATGTCACCTCACCTTTCCATACTTCAGTGTGCATCTCTAAAAAAACACAGCCATTTTCTTACCTAACCACAATGCCATTATCACACGGAACACAATCAACAAACTATTCCTTGGTATCACCTAATATGCCTGGGGAACATAAAATTAAAAGCTGGTGCCTGATGAAACCAGAATCTTTGAAGGGAGGCCCAGGTATGAGCACCTTTCCTAAACTCCCGCACTCCCAAGATTCCAGTGCGCAGCCAGGGTTGAGAACCACTGCTCCATCCATCCAGGATCCTGCTATGGGGGTCTAATGCAAGCTCCATGAATATCCTTTTGCCCTGATCACATGGTACACAATAAAAAAAGTCAAGGAAAAGGTGGCAAGTCACAGAACAGGATAAAGAGAAGGAAACAAAGGGCAAGTGGGTGGCTCAGTCAGTTAAGCGTCAGACTCTTGATTTTGGCTCAGGTCATGATCTCAAGGTCATGAGATTGAGCCCCAAGTTGGGTTCCGTGCTAGCAGCAGAGCCTGCTTAAGATTCTCTCTCTCCCTCTGCCCCTCCCGCCTCCCTCTCGGTGGTAGGTGGGGAAGCGGGAAAGAGAAGGAAAACAAAAGCATTAAGTCGGCTAGGTACAGAATGGGATCCACTGTATAATGCAAGGAGCTGAGGCCTGCTCACTCGATCCCCTAGATCCATTAAAGGTCTGAGAGGCCTGGAAAGAGTTGTTCCCAGCTGCCCAGTCTGCTCAGAGGGCCCTCAGCACCTCACACCAGGCCAGCCTGCATTATGCCTTCTCTCTATTTCTAGCTCTTCTCCCTTCTGTACACGCTGTCTCTCTGGCCTAATATTCTGGCAAACTCAAGAGCTTCAGCACCTGGTCTTAGACAGGATTAATTAGGCCTGTGGTGAGGGGGTGTGCCAAAACTTCTTGGGCGTTGGCACTAGGGTTTGGGATCACAGTCGTCAATTTTAACTATTTATTTTATTTAAAAAATAACTAAACAAACCATCCAGCAGAAAAGATGAAGCTGTATCACTGCAGCTAAAAATACCTCTACTGAGGGCGTCCGCTCACCAGCTCTTCAATTAGAGATGCTACAGGGCCCTTTGTGAGCTGTGCAGAGTTGGCAGCTCCACAGGGGCTCTGGGAGGCTGGGGACAATCCCCGGAGCAGTAACTAGCGACTGCTAGGTGGAGGAGGGCTGGCAGACAACCAGTTAGCCAAGATGACTGGCACACACAGGTAACTCCCAAACCCCTCTTTTGCTTTATGGACCTGGTGCCCAAGCCAAGAAACCTCTTGCCTTCTTTCCACGACGGACCCAAATGCTACCTTTGAGGATGCCTCAAAGTAACTGGGGACTGTTCGGGACACCTCGAGGTTCACGTGAGAGCAGTGATGACCAGAAGAGGTAATGCTGCCCAGTCTGGCTCAGGGTGTGTCCGTGCTGCCGGACAACTTCCCAGTTTGCGTCAGTGCTAACTAGACACAGGTGGTCATCTTGGTGGACTCAGGAAAGGGGTGCTTGGAATGCAGGCCTGACATCTGAAGGGGGAAACTGAGTGAGGCATAGGACTTTATGGCAACTAGGGTGTCTTTCTCTGGATCTCTTTTCTAGGTCCTCTCAGACCTAGAGGTCATTCAATCTAGCACACTCATTTTTATGTGGGAAGATGAAGCCTTGGGGAGGTTAAGGGATTTTTTGTCAAGGTCACAGATTTAGTAAATAGAGGAGCCAGGACTTATACGTGGGATTTTTTTCTTACAAGTACAGTGCTTTGTTCTACTATACTATGTCACCGCAATGAATGGATCCATTCTAAGCATTCAATGAGTGTTTAAAGAGCTACTGGAAAAGGTTATTTTTAGTAGGTGCCAAAGGGACCAAAGAACGTCAGGTCAGAGTTCCCTGCATGACCCGGGAATTTTACAATCCCCGGGTTCTGCAGATTTCAAGGGTCAGACTCAGCAACTGAATCAGACATTCAGTGGGATAAGCACCACAGATCTGCGATCTTCATTTAGCCAGAGAGCCAGAAGGGAACTTCTTTTCTCCCTGAGGGAGTGGGAAACACCTGGTATTAGCTTGACTGGGGGATACCAGGAGAAAAGGGGGCAAGGTTCAGGCCACAGCTGTCTGGTTTCATGCAGGCATTGGACCTTTCTCATTTCTTGGCATTGTGTGTGACCCTTATGAAAGAATCTGGAAGCTTAAGTCAAGAGCATGGGAGGACTGGGTCAAAAAAAAAAATGCATTAAACATTCAGAGGTATGGGGGGAAGGTGCAGATTGGTTTAGGAAGAGTGCAATGCAAACTGAACGTTCCTGGAGTGTTTACTGTGGGAGAAGACTGTCTAGAGTCCTGTGTTGTCCAATACTGTAGTCACTAATCACGTGTGGCTGTTTAAATTAAAATTAAAATTAAAATTTTATTAAAGATTCTGTGCCTCAGTTGCACTAACCACATTTCAAGTGCTCAGTATTTATGAGGCTAGTGGCTACTATACTGGACAATGCAGATAAAGCACATTTCCATCACTGCAGAAAGTCTTACTGGACAGTGTGGGTAGACTGTAGTTGTCTTCTTGCATTTCTTGCTGGCCATAATGAGTTGTTTCTGAGACCCCTTTGGGAAAGAGTTGAATTTGGGGAAGCTAGTCCAGCAAACCTGCTAAACTTAGGAACTCAAAGAAGCTTAGAGCAATGAGGAGCATTGAGTACCCCAGTGTACTGGACTCACCAGGCCCTAACCCCTCTCCCCTCAGGGCCTTTACTACTTGTTCACAGCCATTCTGACCTTTGCGTGTTTTATTTGTTTCCTATTTTACGCTGTTTTAATTGATGTTTAATATAGCTTAACTCTGCATGGTGTTCCAAGCCCCTCACTAGGGGGCTGCTCAAACACAGAAGCACAATTAATAACAATCCCCAGAAAATTATGCCCTGTATCAAAGTTGTCATTGTACCCTATAAATGCTTATTATTACTATTGAATTCTCCAGCCCTGACACCTCCCCGTGTTTACTAGGTAGCAGATAAACCTCTATGCTTGTGCCTTCCCTACTCTACCACACCATCAGGACTAAATATAGCCCTTGTGTGTCTGTTTAGCTCCATTTAGCTGTGCTTTGGAAAAGGGGGGAAACATCAGAGTTAATAAAATTAAATTGCCAGAAAATGTGATTTGTTCCTCTCCCACTTGACAAGCCCTTGAAAGACACAGACATCACTGCTCACGAGATGGGTAACCAGCCTCAGCTACAAGGTGGGGGGCAAGGCCCAGAGCCTGCTAACATGGCATGGTTTTCAGATCTGCCTCCTCTGAGAGAATAGAGGGAGCAGGCCCAAGTGCGCAGGACACTGGGGGCAAGGGGTAATACCCTGTGGCCTGGGAGAAAGTGACCAGAAAATAGTGCCTGAGCTGGAGTCCTGCCCAAGGAGTTAGAGGGCAATACATTTCACCCCTGCCCTGCAATTCTCTCAGTTTGCGGGGGGGGAAGATAAATAAAAAAGCAAACAATGTAAGCCTCTCCCCTACCCCAAAAGGAAAAACAAAGCCCCTTAATTTAAAATGGTTTAGTACTTCATGGTTGTTTCTTTTGGGCATTTTTGAAGCTCAGTTTTTGGCATGAAAAGATAACAGCTTTTCTATGATCACTAATCAGGAAAAGCAAATGGAAAATTCCAGGCTTGTGAGACACCTGTACTCCTCCCTCTCTGGCATGCCTTCTCATCCTGTGTGCATTCTCTCTGCACCCCTGTCTAGTTAAGAGTCTTCTTTACAGAACGCTGAGGCCCCAGATGACTTTCTCCTCTGACTTAGCCTCGTGTCCTTTTCTCACTAAAATAATACAATTTAGAGAATGCACGTGTTCACCTCTTTTGTCCACCTCTACCACGTACACCCCACTCCCTTCTCTATGCCATTTTCAGTCTTCCAGTTATCTGTACTGCCAGTGGATGAACAGGTGGCTGTCTGGGAGGCAGGTGAGGGTGCAGGTCAGACGAATACAACAGGAATGTGGAGATATTAGCTCTCCCGTGCCGGACTACGTGTGTTCCAAGGATTACCTTCCTCATGCCTCAGTTTCTCAAATACTGTGAACTGCTTCGACTGGACTGTGTCACCTCTAGAGCCCTGACAGCTCTCAAATGCTCTAATTCAGTATTCTGAAGGCTGCAGACTCAAGTCCTTGGAAACTGAATGGGTCATTTTATTTCTATTTATAATCCATTTTTAATTTCTGCACTCAATGCTCTATGGAGAAATGTAGATTCTAAATTCTTCTACCCAACAAAGGAAAAGCTCTATTTTAGGCTGTTTGACAGGGAAATATTTCTAACTACATTGAGTTTCCCATATTGTATTTGCTTTGCCTTCTTCCATCTTTGCCTAAAAAAGTAGTTTCTAAAAAGCCATAAAAGCTTCCTGTGCTCAGGCATAGCAGGAACGAGGCTGCCTTGGCTGCAGGAAGAAGACGGTGCCGACCCTGGGCCCCAGGGGGGCAGGACTGTTTACCATCTGCTGCTCTAGCAGCCTTGTCTCCAAATCAGGCCTGGTTTGTAGTTGGCTGCAAATATTAGGAGCTGGGCCACTAGCATGTCCCACCCATGGCAAGCCTTGAACCCTTTGTACTCTGGCTGCCAAGACAATCTGAAAGCAGGGGGCCACTTTCCATCTTAGGAGAAAAACACGTGTGTTATACGGAAATAGGATTTTCTTTTCCCTTCCTCTCCTCATTCCCAGCCATTCTGAATGCTTTAGATTGAAAGGGAGGAAAACCTGTCCAACAAAGCTGAGGAAGGTGATGGAATTGTCAGAGACTTCCCCTGCCCCATCTATGCAGGCCAGAATGGTTTATTAATGATCCATGGGAAAAGAACAATCGTCCTGCTGGCAGCTTCACATGTAATTAAGCAGCTTCACAGAGAGCTGGCTGCCTTCTCCAGGTCTGGCATCTGCAGACTGCAGAGCTACCTGACATAGTGACGCTGGGTTTCTAGTGAAATCTTCCTACCGGGAAAGGGACAACCAAAATAGTGACCTAAACCCACTGGGCACTCAGGAAACATGACTGTGATGGTAGTGTTCTTCTGGAAGTCTGGCCATGTACTTGGGCTGACACAAAAGAGTGCAAGCTCCCCGATGGCAACAACCAGCTCTGGGGAACCACAAGTCCCACTGGTCACCATTAACTGCCCACTCAGGTAAGTAGCTCCCTCTGCTGGGTAGAGGTCATGGCGCAGGGTAAACTTCCGAGGGGGTTCCCCCAGATACTTTCCCCTCAGCCAAAACTCTACCCACAGGAGTTTCTGGGAATTGGTTCATGCTGTGCAAGGCAGCAGACTCCAGCTCTTTCCGCCCCTCCGCAGTGCTGAACGACTTTGCTGGGTGTGGTGGGCAAGAGTTGCTTCTGTGTCTATATGCGTTAGAGAACCAACAGAATTCAAACTACAATACATCAAGAGAAAAGGGGCTAAGTTAACCACGTTTTGCCTTTGTAGTCAGTGCTAACTTCCCTTTTAAGAGCCCTGGGATTCACAGACCCCTGGTCATCCCACCAGGTGAGTGAAGTAGTAAGTACTTGGCATTCGAGATGCAGTTTTAAAAATGAGCTCTTTAGTGCATGGCACTGGAAATGTCATGGGTTGTGTTTCCGTCACCTTTCCCAACAGAGAATCAGAGGGCATTTCAATGAGGGAGAACAGAATAACACACACACACACACACACACACACACCCTTTCTGTGCTTGCTTCTAGAGTTGAGAAAGAAGTGGATAAAAACCGTCTCCATTCTCCATCCCCTGGTAGATACAGACCCCTCTTAAGCACAAGAGCCCTTCCTTCACCCTCTGACTCAAGCTCGACCCTAGGCACCCAGATTCCCCCAGGGTGAGCCCAAGTTACTACCTGAAGTCTCAGAGGGAATGACAAATGTCTGCGTGGGCAGCAAAACCAGAGCTAGTTCACAGGTGTCATGGACTTTCCAGTCCCCACATGCAGTTTACGTTCTGTGGGATCACAAAGGAAGCCTGTACCGTTTAGAAAACCAGGGGAGAGGAACTGCTGGGTGAGGCGGTGATGTCCATCAACTGACGCCACGCTGCCCTCTTCTTGAGAGTACCACACGTGCGGTGAGCCCCTCTAATAAAGCCGCCGAGTTGAAGAACAGGCTCCACAGTCATTTTCTTGCTTATCACCTGCAGTCTCCTTCCTCACTCAGCTTTGATTACAGGAGCCAAACACAGTGGTTCTCTCATTCCTATTAAAGCAGCCTAGAAACAGGCATAATCTCAGCTGCTGCTCAGCAACTAGCAGGCAGGGAGAGGTCACTGGTGACCTGGTAGGAAACGGATAGCTCATGATGAATGAATTGGTACTGCCTGCTAATTTAACTTGCCATCACTTTAATCAATAAGGGAAAAGGTGAATTGCTATTGATCTCTTCAACACCTCTCGACGATACTGTACAAATTACAGAAACACAAGGGGGAGGGTGAAAGCATCAGAGAGGAAGGACAGATGCAAGAAGTCTGGGCAGGGTGAGAACGCTGCATCTTCCCAGAGTTGGTCTCCCCGTGGCTGGGTGTTAGGCATGCTTGGGTGCATGTGTGAATGTGTCAGGAAGAGCCCTTCCTTACACCTTGAAGAGTTGGCCTCCCTCTGCACTTCATGTACTTGCTAGGCCTCATCAGGGCAACAGGGCATGTGAAACCATATGGCTTCCCCTGATGCAAGGCTAGAAGTCAGTATGTTGAGAGGCGCTATGGGTCCCAAGGCCTCATGAATTTTTAAAGTTGTCATACTCGAGTGGTGTCTAGCTGGGCTATCTCAACAACTAATATAATTCTGGATGGGAAAACAAGAATCAAAAGCTTCCAGGGCAAACTCCAGGTTTGCCACACTGACCCCCAGCCTTGGGTCAAAAGCCAAAAAAGGCTAGACAGGAAGCTAATAAAGTAGAACTGTCTTGCAACATACTTGATAATAACAAAGATCATGGCTCCCAGGGTTCAAGACTATCCTCTAAAAACACATCTGAGAGACACAGCCTCAAGATCAGAGGTCGGGGCCAAAATGTGAGAGGTCTAACCTGAATCCTGGGACAATGACCACACACAGACAGGCAAGATGACAATGTAACAGGCAGATTTTATGGCAGGGCGAAAAGGGAAAATTGCCTAGAGCTAAGCCCATGAGGTAAAGAATGGTCACATCTCAGGGTCTAGGACCACAGGTCCATCTCCTGTCTCATCAACTGGGTCTAATTATTCGGATGCAGGTAAAAAGAAAAAAAACCCACAAAAACAAAGCAACCACAGGTCCCTCTCCAGGTCACACAGTGACCTCAGCCTGTGTGTGGTTATTCGCTTTCTACGTAAGTGGGTAGAACTAGGGGCTCCTCGGATCCTCTGCACCGTGTCTTAGTCATCGCCTTTCAGCTCTCTCCAGGCAGAACAGGGCTGAGTACTCCCATTTTGCAGATGGTGAAACCAAACAGGCAGTCACATATCCAATATGAAAGAGAACCCAACCTTTAAAACCCAAGTGTGAAAAGGGCAGGAGCCCTTCAGGATGCTCTTGGCACTCTTGCTTAAATGACTCTCCAGAGACAATGACTCAGGGTGTAACTGTGTAATTCTGAAACCAGTGACAACAGTGTGCCAGTACCCCCACCTTCCTCCCACAAATACCTGAACGGCCAAAACGTAGAGCAAAATAAAATGCAAGTTATAAAGCTGCTGATGTGGTTAGAGTGGAAGTGCTGATATTAGGAGGAGGAAGTGGTTAAGTGCACCCTGGGTGTTTGGAAATGGCCACGTCTGCAGCCCTGTAAGCTGATGAAGGATGAGCTCTCACTGTCTCTGCCGGGCAGACAGAGAGATTGGCCCTACACTCAGGAGGTGGGAGCATGGCTATGAGAGGGCATGAAGGTAAGAAACACTATTTAGCAAACACCAGTACCCTCCTACAAGGAATCTTCCAATTCCGAAAGTGACCCTATTCTAAAATTACCACGTGGCAAGTGGCCAGGCCAAAAATCCATATCCAATCAGTGGTAATGGACTATTTGTTGCATTTCCTCATATAGGGTTGCAGCACTGCTATAAAAATCTTGGGCCAGTAGTTTTAGATTTATTTAACCAGAGAGGTACCAGCATCCTAGCATTGCCAGCACTGGAGAAACCTGTGAAGGGAAGAAGCTGATGCAGGCTGCTGGTAGTAGTGGAGGGACCTGTTGGGTTTTACTTGCATAATCTTCCCCTTCTAGCTGTACATTCAATGCCAAGACCCTCTTCTGGTACCATTAGATAGGATTTCACTGTATTGAGAGAAGGCAAAGGGAGAAGAGGGAGGGATTATGCTAACTGGAAAGAAAAATGGCACAGTAAAGCTGTTTCCAATTCAACTTTTCATTCCTAGCTCAATAGGTAGTTTTTGTTCTTGTTGCAGTGACTGTCCCACAGGATTCGTCTTGGGTCCTTTTCTTGTCCCTTTCAATCCTGATTAACACCTAGATCTTTCTTTAGAGCTCATGCCTGGCACTCCACTATCCTCCAACCCTCCAATTTAATAAAGATCAAAGACAAACCTATGGCAATCCTAGACTGCTGTGGCCACGGTAAGGTGGTACGGGGACAAAAAAGAGCAAATGCTATTCCATCAGAGGATAAAGAAGCCCAGGCCAGCTAGGATCTAGATAGGTCATCCCTGTATCCCTCTTTTTCAAGTCACAGTGACACCAGGAAATGGGAAGAAAGTATAGAGAGCCCTGAGTATGGGCAGATCATCCTCGCAACACCCATATGGCAGTTCAACTACACGGCAAAGGTACTCAAGCCATTATTTCTTAGATGTCTATTCGGCATCTGTAGAATCTGGGCTCTTGGTGATGGTTGGCCCTATCTGTCCATAGTCAAGTCTAGAAGAGGCTCTGTGCGCAGGTTAGGACTCTGTGGCATTACCTCCAGACCTTTACCTTTTCCACTGAATGTGACACTGCCTACGAAGAGATTCTAACGTGGAGAACCATGCAGAAGCAGAGGCAAAAATACCCTGTTTCTTTAGCCTTTCTTCATAGAAAAATGACTGGCTAACCCCTGATGGTATCTAGACAGTTTTTTGAGAACTTAGATCAAGGATGGCAAATACGTGCCAAATCCACTCAACGGATAGTAGCTCCTAGGAGCCCTGTTCTGAGAAGATTCTGAGCCCTAAGCCAAAGCAGTGCTATGACTGGAAAGGTCTGCCATGGGTGCTAGATGGGGGAGGGGGGGTATGCGTATTTGCCATCACTGGCTTAAACAGACAGGACTGGCATGTGGAGAGCACTGGTGAGGACTAACCATGGTTCTTTGTTGATTCTAATATAATGCTGCTCCCAACACACATGCCAATGACTAGCCTGCCTCCCTACTCTGGGTATCATGGTTTGTCCTCAGTGAAGTTCTAGTCCTAGATTTTAGCTAAACTCTGAGAGAAGAATTTTCATTCATAATAAAAATAATGACACAAGCTGTCGCCAAGTGTTTACTGTTTACGAGGGCACCAGTCCTGGGAAATTTTATATATATACATGACTTCCACACCAACCCTCGAGAGAAGGTGCCTTCGCTGTAGGTGAGGGAGTTAGGTTCAGCAGCACCGCTGCACTGTGCAACCTTAGGAGCACCATTCTTCGGAGTTCTATTATACACTGAGACTGCCCTGGATTTAGAGAAACTGAGGATCATGTCCAAGGTCATTCAGTAAATGGCGAAGCTGGAACAAGAACGCAGGTCTCACTCTGCACATGTTACTAACAGAGTTTTTAAGTGACCAGGAAGGGAAAAATGTGCCTACATGTTCTGGATATGGGTCTAAGGATGAACTTACCCCTTCCTGAATAAGTGACACGTGTTGTTTAGACCAGGTTAGGGTATCTGCTGTTAATTCTCAAGCCTGCTCATAATCTTATTTCATGCACCACAGCATTTCATAACAGACTATTGGTCACTTTCATTTCCAAAATCCATTTAAGTTCAGCTGACCAGAAACTGTCACAGGTGGAGTGGCAAGTGGGAAGTTCATCAATAAAGCCAGATTTGGAACACAGAGGATCTTGTCTAGTCGTTGGCAACAGACACACGGCTAATGGCAAGAAGAGGGCAAGGTTATGGTTGGCTCATCCACTAGAACAGTCACTACTGTGTCCTTGGAGGAGTCACGTGTGAAACCCCAGAATGTTAGTTTTACCTAGAGAGCAAATGAAATGTACAATCTGCTTATTACTCTTTGCTGGCAGCTCTGGCAGCCCTGCTATTGTATATTAAGGGCTGTGTTCTAAAACGGTATCAGTTGAATTATATAATTCCAAGGAGAAGATATTAACATTCAGGCAGTGGGTGTGTCTGGGAATAGTTAGGACAAACTGAAAAGAGAGATATGATGCCTGAAGATCCCCAAAGACGCCAAGCATGAAAGCTCACACTCAAATCTACAAGGGTGCTGGCCAACGTGTTGGGGTCCCGTGTGAAGCTCTTCTGGAAATAAAGAGAATGGGGCAAGTCTGAATGAGGTCATCTTTATTGTGGAAAGTAAGTATGATCTGCCAGTCAGAAGATATGAAATAAAGAACTACTTTCCAAATTAGGCTTCCAGAAGGAAATGGACAGACTTCACAAATAAGGGATTTCATCTGAAAAAAATGTGGAGCTGCTTTCCTATTATATTAAGGATATTAGCTTCCTTTCCGCCCACCCCCCCTTTTTCTTTTTTAAAGAGAACCCTTACACCAAAGCTCAAGAAGCAGTGATTATTCAGGATGACTGAAGAGGTAAGACAAACCAGGAATTATTACTAGGGGCATCTGATACAAGTAAATTAAAATAAATGGCACCCAGCTCTCCTAGCACAATCCTTACCTATGAGGAGTCCAAAAATCTCTTACCTCCTGATAGAATTTTTCCATTCGTTCTGGGTCACAGGCTCTACATAGCTATAGAGAAGGTAGACCAGGATGTGCCTGGCAATAGCTGTTGTCCACAGGGATGGCTCAGAAAGAAATTTATGTCAGATAGGCAGATAGTACTGAATACCATAGGTGGCAGGAGTTCTGCTTAGCAAAGCTCTGTTTGAAGGATCTTCATGACCTTGTATTCATAACGATAATCTTGTAGTGAACTAATAAATGCATTCAATGGCAATGCCCACTATACTCATTTCCAGGCTTCAAATTTTTTTTAAAGATTTTATTTATTTATTTGAGAGCGAGACAGCATGAGCACAAGCAGTGGGGAGCGGCAGGCAGAGGGAGAGGGAGAAGCAGACTCCCCGCTGAGCAAGGAGCCCGATGCGGGACTCAATCCCAGGGTCCTGGGATCATGACTTGGGCAGAAGGCACATGCGTAACTGACTGAGCCACCCAGATGTCCCTCCAGGCTTCAATTTAGATGAGGTTTAAAGCAAGTACTGTGAACCAATCTAGCAGAAGGATGCAAGAGGAAGTCATGTTTGAGCCTTTTGCATCTTTACTCTCAGACTGATGTGGGTTAAAAGTAAAGGTGGAGAGGAAAAAAATCAGTTCAGGGACCCACCTCGGCATTGCGAAGGAACCTGCTTATGGAGGAACAACATCTGTCAGGTCTAAGGGCTATACTTCCTAGTTCCTTTTTCCTGGTAGGAACAAACTGAACTGGCAGAAGAAACATCAGTCTCTTAAGGAAGAGTTTATAGTAATAAGAACCAATTCCCCAGGGAAAGGAAGAATCCCTCTGCTGAAAAGGATTTTCTTCCCTGAGACAGAATTATATCCTTGAGACCTTCCCTACATGTCCCCAAGGAGGCCAAATCTCTTGTGGCCCTAAACCTTATTCTGTCCCCAGCCCCAACAGTTGGGCTGGGATGTGAACACTAGTCTCGGGAGGGCAGTGAGGCCTATCAAACTTTACCAGTCAGCCTGTATGACATAATTACAGGTAATAGGATCTTGGCCAAGCCAATGAAAAATTAGGCCCAGCAGCTCTTTCAGAAGAATGGATGCAATTCTATGCTTGACTGGCTATGAAAGTTCCAAGCAGAAGAATAGGGAACAGACAACAGCCTAGCTGAGCCAGCAGCTTTGCAGAGAGGAATCCCACTGGAGCCAGCACACTGGCACCTATCAGCACATGCTGCTGAGCTAGCTTGGGGAAGGCTACTGGTGACTGGTACCTGGGGAGTTTAAAAGCTGACAGGGGAGACCCAAGCAGCCAGGGGATGGGAAAAACAGGGCGACATGACAGTATCCTCTGTTCTTCATTTTCACCTCAGCTCTTCTCATTGCGATGCCATTTTCATTTACGGGTTGGAATGGGAATTGAGGGCCTCCCTTCTAGGGCTTTTAGGGATACCTGGCAAGGGCCAAGAACCCAGAAATGAAGGGGCTGTAAATAGGGAGGTAACAGCCTAGTATTCACATGGTACTTACAGCCTATCACTGAACAAGAGTTGGTTGACCTGAACTTCAAAATAAACCCTTTGCCTCATTTAATAGTTTGATCCACAAAAGCAAAGGATGGGAAATATACCAAGGAGGGAAAGAGATGAGTAGCCTACTGGGAATATGATGAAGGGACACTAAAGATTTCTATTTGAACAGTGGAAGTTTTTCAAAAACACTTACACATCATGATCTCATTACCTTTAAGTATCTTGGTTGGAGAGCTCGGGAGACCCAGGGATGTCAGGATCCCAAAGTAAGAGCAGAGTCAGGTCTTGGTAATGCACTTTTTCAATGGGAAGCTCCTGACTTAGCAGCTGTGTGTCCGGCCTCAATACTCCAGTCTTCCTCCCTGACCCACAAATGCTGAGCTTAAAGAGCTTTCCCAAAGAACTACAAAGGACAACAAAAGAGCAGGCCTTCTTCCCGATCTCTAGAGTTAGGTCACAGGGAACCAAGTAGTGGATTTAATGAATGTCTATCTATTAAGCATCTCTTATAAACCAGGCAAAGTACAAAGAACATAAGGACAAAAACAGGGATCTGGTCCTTGAGAAGCTTACAATCTGGGGGGATGGGGGAGACTGACACATAGATCCCTTCAACGTCATTGGTCAGTGCATGACAGATGTGTGCACAGGACACTATGGGGACCAAAGAAAGGGCATCTCACCCAGTCTGGGAGATCAAGGAAAACCTTCCCAGAAAAGGAGGTATATCTTGAAGGATAGGTAGGAATAAGAAAGCAAAGAAGGGGGATGGCTGATATACTGAGTGGGGAGTTTGGGTTGATCTTAAGAGTGGGAGAGATGAAATGGAATGGTAAATACGGGGAACTGTGAGAATAAGGTCAGTGAAATGAGTAGTGTGTAAGACAAGAAGTTGGAGAGGCAATCGAGGATATATGTAAACTAAGGAGATCAGACTTTATCCCAGAGGCAATGGGGAGTTATATAGTTCTAAATGATCACTTACTAGATACGTCTTTTAAGAAAGATTAGGAACATGGATATATATGATTAAGCTGAAATAGAGCAAGATAGGTCAGAGAGGAATCATTAATTAAAAAGGAAAGAAAGAAAAGGAAAGAAAGAAAGAAGAAAAGAAAGAAAGAAAGAAAGAAAGAAAGAAAGAAAGAAAGAAAGAAAGAAAGAAGGAAAGAAAGAAAGAAAGAAAGAAAAAAGAAAAGGAAAAGGAAAGCCCACAAAATCAAACAGATGAAGCAGGAATCAGGCAATCGAAAGATGTAAAAACTGTGACAAGAAGAGAATAAATATTTTGGGAAGGTGTGGCCAGAGCGGATCCCTCGGATCCTTCTGGAGTCTTGTGAACATCCAGAATCAGACTCAGTGGTTCCTTAGTGGAGAAGAACTCTCAGTTGAACTGCTGGATCTTTAGGGAAGTCCTTTATAAATTAATTAGGTCCAGATATGAGGGTTGAGAAAGGACATAATACTGCTAATTAGAATGACCACATTCTAATAGAAAAATTGGCAAAATCTGGGGAAGAAAAAGCACCTGATTTGGAATGTAGACATTTGGGTTTTGGTATCTGCTCTACAACAAAGCTCTGTGAATAGAGGCAGGTCACCGTGCACCACAGTTTCCTGAACTGTGACACTGGGATAATATTTCTCATGTAGGTTTGCTTTGAGATTAAAATGAAATATTGTATATGAAAGCACTTTTACACTAGAAAAATACTATATAAATGGAAAGCCTGATCACTATTAAGAGTGATTTTTCCACTCTTAATTTTCTATTTGAGCCCCCTTCAAAGAAAACAGCCTCTAATGGAAAACAAAGACTTTGTGGGGAGGTAAGAGAAAAGCCTTAGCCTCCAACAGCCCTTAACACCTCACGGAGTGAGAGGGTGGTTCAGAAAGGTGACCTTACTGCATTCTCTTTTCGCTGGGCAGTGGCAGAGGTAATCTAGAATATGGTGTTCTTTGCAAATGACTGAAACGTTGGTAGACAGCTGGCTCTTCCCAGCAGGTTAAGGGGACCCAGGGACAGTCTGAGAACAGAGTCTCGCTGGCCTTAAAGGCACCAGGTTTCCCTTACCCTTCTGGGTTTCCCCATGGCTTGAACTATCCTCATTACTTTCATCCAGAGATCTAACTTTGTTATTGCTCCTTCTCCCATGTGTCTCCTGCCCAGGGAAGGGACCTGCATGGGCAGACGGAAACAGCAAGGGTGAGGGCATATACCACAGCACTATGGGGAAATGTGGAGAAACTGTTTCAATGGTAAACTGCTTGGACCGTTTATTATCTTTCTCATACAAGATGCAGCACACTTGGTGGTAAAAACAAAAAAACAAGAAACCATTTTTCTTTTATTCTAAGGTTTCTCTCCCGAACAGCTCTCCATAAATACACACCAGTATTCACTGCCAAGTCCATATTCCTCTGAAATGTAAATACATGTTCTTCAGATAGCAACAGTTGCTTGTGATCTTTTGTGCATCTTTGTTTTTAAAAAAGCGGGGTAGCGGGAGTGAGGGGATCCAGGACTATGCCCTGGCCACCGCAACTTGCAGCAGGAGCTCCCCAGGGGGGCATCCTCCCTTTTGATGCCCGCAGGAGGAAGGGAAATAGGTCAGGGCAGCAGCCAGAGTTTTCAGCTCAGGCTATCCAGCACGAGGACATTTTCCAGCCAGCAGCAAAGGGTGATTTCTGAGATCTCAAGAGGACAAAGGGGTCACTGAGAAAGGTCTTGGAAATGATCACCAAACCTCCAACATCCCAGCTCCTGCCCCGGTACCTCTTAGAGCCTGGCACTGTGAAGAGGGTTAAACTGTGGCACTGATCTCTTTTCATGCCTTAGAGCCCCTTCTCTAAGAGTGCAGGATTTCCTGACAGGTGTGAAGAGATCCCACATGACTGTTTTAGTCACAGGAAGGGTCTCAAAAGGGAGAGGATGGCTTTGGATTGCTAGACCAGTGTTTTAGACAGGAATACCAAGGCAGGAAAGAGTCACTCAGAACCACATGATTAACTGGAACTCGAAAACTGAGAGCGTGCACATTTAAGCCAGTTATCTACCCATTAGCTAACGTTCACCACTACTTCTGGGAAGATGCTAGCAATGGGCACAGTTCCCCATCTGGGAAGCTACACCAGATCTTCCTGTCCTTGGCAGTGCAGCAGAGAACTGCTTGAAAGAGGCAGATGTACTGCAGGAGGGGGGCACACAAGCTCATGCCATCCAGTGGGACACAGCGCTCATATAGCTCACAATCACAGCGACAGCAATGGACACAATGATCTCACTCTGCGTGGCCCAGAAGGAGCCCAGCCTGAGGCAGGGGACATGAGAGCAAACCATCATTTTCAGGGCTGTAAGCTATTTAAACCAACCAACTCAGCATATACTTACCGTATAGCAAGGGTCAGCAAACTTCTCGTGATAAAAAGATAAGTAAATATTTTAGGTTTTGCAGGCCTTATGGCCTCTGTCCTAACTATTCAACTCTGCTATTAAGAGGATGAAAGCAGCCATAGACTGTAGTACATAAAACGATTAGTGTGGCAGTGTTGCAGTAAAACTTTATTCACGAACACTGGCAGTGGGCCGGATTTGCCCACCCCTGTAACATCCTAACTGAGTCACGCTGGGAAGAACTGTTGAGCTAATTGGATTTCCTCTAGAGTTCCTTGGCTGCTTTGGCCTTCAAGGCCACAAAGGGTCAGGTAACAAGCTGGTATCTGAAGTGCTCTTTGTCTTGCCCTGGAGCAAGAATGCCAGAACACCCAGACCCCTGACCTGGAACAGTCTTCCCAGACTCCTACCTCAGGGAAAGAAACAAAAGACAAC